TGGGTGAGGGATGGATGGATGGATGGATGGATGGATGGATGGATGGATGGATGGATGGATGGATGGATGGATGGATGGATGGATGGATGGATGGATGGATGGATGGATGGATGGATGGATGGATGGATGGATGCTGAACAAAATAATGGATAACAGATAAACACGTGATGATAGAAATCAATAAATAAATGAATAGATTAGTAAATCAAGTGGATAAATCAGTGGCACATCCTGAAATGTATTAATGGAGTGACCGTGTGGGGGTCGTTGAAAATCCTGTGGTGGCACGCTGAAATTAAAAGCCAGAACAAAATGTCAGAAATGTATTTATGCTGTTCTTGTAAAAAGGTGATTTGAAAACTAGCAATGCGAGTTGAAGAAATTCCAGCGGATGGAGCTCCGTTTCTTTTTTTACATCCAACATTTGTGATTGTGTGATGTCCAAAGACCAGAACAGATCACATTTAGAGGTCCACAACAGTCCAGCTTTTATGGGTTTTATAACGTTACAGACATTTGTAATGCCATAACCTGTCCTTACATTAGGCTTTTTGTAATTTTCCCTAAAAACGTGAGACGTACATCTTTAGTTTGAAGGGGCACATTAAAGAAAATTTCTACTAGAAACAAGTTTTGTAAAATTAAAGCCACCACTTCTTCTAGTTCTTTTAAAAATATTTTTATTTGCTTGTTGCTTCAGACTTTTGTGAACAAAAAGGAAGTATATTGAAAAAAGACAAATAACTGTGAATTTAAAACAGATAAATGAAGAATTTCCGACAAAGAATTATCGTTTTTCCCACAGCTGAACAGATTACGCAGATGATTTATTGTAAAAATCATCTCCATGAGTGCATGGCTTGATGGTAGTTTTGCAATACAGAAATTAACCATCGGAGTCATATGGTAAACTGATGAACAATCAGATACAGTAAATAAAGATTGGATAAACTAATGGACGATGGAACAGGGTCGAGTAGACCAGTGGACAACATGTAATCTGATTAAGTGAACAGTAGAATAACATCTACATCTGTACGCTCATGTTCTTATCTTGTCTTTTTATTTGTGTAGGAAGGAGACATGTGGTCGTCTGTTAACTGTACTCTTTGTGCGTGCATTAAAGGCAACATCGAGTGTCGGCCCAAACAGTGTGTACCGATCACCAGCTGCCCCTCGGTGAGTGGCAACTACACTTCTTCTAGTGTTCACATCTGGATGTTTTGTTTGTCTTTCCTGCTAAAGGACTTCGCTTTCCTTGGAATCCCATCAGAATGCAGTGCCAGCACCCAGGCTTTCATGGATATACTTATATTTTAGCTCAAAATAATCTCATCAAATCTTAAATGAAGGGTCTTTTTAAGTTGTTCAGTCTTTCACATAAAGAAACACAAAAAGTCATGCATGTGACCATCAAAGTCTTTTGCTCCTCAGATTAAAAAAATATAAGATCTTGCAGTTTTCAAACAGCAACTGATTGAAGCTTATTTTTGATTTTACTTTATTTTTTTTTTTGTCTGCCTCCTCTTTACGTGGCAGTCAGGGAGTGACAGACAGGTGTGTGATTGCCATGGCAATCCTAATGATCAACTGGCAGCAGCTTGTTTTTTAAATTATTTTGTGCTCTTTACACTTCTTTTACAGTTTATACGCCAAATTGCACACATTTACTTTAGATATCTTTAAAAAAAAAAACTGAAGCCTCCGGAAGCCTAAAATTTTTGGGAACCACTGGCAAGAAAAAAGGTTGGAGTTGTGTTCACCTGTCGCAGAAGTTGCCTCCGAGTCATTTGTTGGTCAGTGGGAGACGGAGTACATTCCTTGCATTCTGCCAGCCGGTGCCGGTCACGATGTCAGTGATAGTCCAAGTTCACACGCTTCCAGTGGTTACTACAAGCCCTCACCTGCTGTTAGGGGTCACAGCAGAGAACTGCAGAATAACGTTGGTGGTCTACATCGTTTTCTTCTGTTTTATCCTATTGAACATTATTTTTATATCAAGTTTTGTTATTAAACCACACATTTTTCTAAGTTCTTATTTGCTGCATGGCCTTTCTCATTCACTGATGATTCATGGCTCACAGCACTAAAACATCCCAAGTAAAAAAAATTAAAAAAAAAAGACATTCACATTAGAGGAAAGTTTTTCTGCAGAGGAACTCTAGTGACTCTCTAAAGAAACGCTTTCAATAAGAGTTCTTTATTAAACCTAAATTTAGACAAAACAAAGAGCTTTGTTGTAAATCAGAGCAAAGGGATGTTTTTAAGACACTTGCGAGATATGAAGGCAATTTAAAAATCAACTGATGGGTGTAAAATGTGGGCGGCACAGTGGCTCTGTTGATAGGGCTGTTGCCTCACAGTGAGAAAGTCGCTGGTTCAAATCCTGGCCCAGGGCCTTTCTGGGTGGAGTTTGCATGTTCTCTCCGTGCATGCGTGGGTTTTCTCCGGGTACTCCGGTTTTCCTGTCACAGACCAAAAACATGCATGTTAGGCTGATTGGTAACTCTAAATTGTCCCTAGGTGTGAGTGAGAGAGTGAATGTTTGTCTCGTTTGTCCCTGTGATGGACTGGAGACCTGTCTTGGGTGTCCCCCGCTTCTCGCACAGTGATAGCTAGACATGGACACCAGTGACCCCCGCAACCTGAAAAGGAAGAAGTGGGTAAAGATAATGGATGGATAGGTTTAAAAATTTACAGAAACCAGAGTCCTAGCATTCATAGACGGCTGTGGCTGAGTGGTTAGAGCAGTCGTCCTCCAATACAAGAGTGGGGGTTTGATTCCACCAGCAGTCACATGGCAAAGTGTCCCTGGGCAAGACACTGAACCCCTCATTGCCTCCGATGTGTGTCCCATCGGTGTATGAATGTGATAAAGCTCTGATTAGTCCTTGTACAGAAATAGTAGAGCGCTGTGTGAATGGGTAAAAGGGCACAGACTGTGTTGTAAAATGCTTTGATTATCTTGAACAGATAGAAAGGCGTTATGTAAGTACAGTCCATTTAACATTCAAAATCTTGAACATCCTGAAAGTTACTGGTCCTTTTTGCTTATTGGTGAAGTTTACAAGTGCGAAGACAACGTAATGGAAAAGAACAAAACAAGAATTGCAACCTTGATTGCACGAATCTAAGTAAATGCGCATCGATTTGTATCACAGACTTGAGCTGAGACATTCTGAGCATGACTCACGTGATCACAAGCACCACACGCATGCAGAGCCTTGAGGCTGACATCAAAGTATAAAATCTGGCCCACACCTCCTACACTGCAGAGTTGGTGGGACTTCTGTTAACGCTCAACTTCGTATTGCTTTGTATGCAACAGGAAATGTGTCTTTGTGCAGTTCTATTTGTTAAAGACGTTTACAAAAGCAAAACCAGCTATTAAGATTTTATATCTTGCATGGATAAAGCAACATATAGAACGTAAACTCACACACCTGTCCTAAGTTATCATGGCTATGAGTCATCCCTGACACAGAGGTCACCACACCACGCTTACTTTACTCTTCCACGCACACGCACCCTCGACCATGCCTTCATCCTGCGGTCAGCAGCGGGTCAGCAGAGTCTGGGTCCTCTTTGGAGACAGCATGTCTCCGAACAGCCTTTTGTCTGTATTACGTCTGAGTGACAGCAGAGAAGAGGTGCCCTATATTTAGGTCCTTGAAAACCAATCTCTGTCAGTGTGTGTGTTTCAAAGAGAGTGTGTGCTCTTGTGTGTCCTTGGTGTGTCTAAAGGCAGCCCTCTTCAAAGAGTGCCCTTTGTGTAGAGGTTAGGACTCTGGAGCGTGTACTGAGTGTACGGCGAGCGTCTGCGCGTGATGACAGATGAGTGGCGGGTGTGTGTAAAAGACAGGGGGAACGTGTTTGTGGGTTGGCAGTCAAAACTTTCAAATGATGGTTAAATTTTAAATTAGATTCGTGTTGGGGTTTGGACAGCTGGAAGAAAATTTAGGAAGCCTTTCTATCAGTGATGTTCATCAGTCAGGTGAAAGTACAAATGTGTGTGTCGACCAACGACGGGCTTCCTTCAGGCAGCGGAACTTTGAGTGAAAGATTCGTCTGATCTGCTCTTCTGATGGAAGTTGAAACACACACACTACCGTATCTCCCACCGTACACGTCGCACCGCCCTATAAGTCGCATCAGTCCAATTATGTCTAATAAAGTGGAAAAAAAAAACCTGTTGCTTCGCCATATGAGCTGCATCTATTATGCGTCACCCCTGACGACCCGGAAATGTGGTCCGGTGTTGTGTTCCGAAAATTGATTGGCTGCCAAATGGCGGCCGCGGGAGCTTTAACAAGAATTTAACAAGATTAACACTTAAAAACAATTATTTGTTTGCTCGAAATTATAGCAAAGGTGTGTCTCAGTCTAACTTTTCCTTAATAAATGCCCTTTGACGGTCAAATCAGCTGCATTTCAAAAGCCGATACACAGAAGTAGGAGCATGCATGGGAGGACTCGCTGTGCAGTTCTTAGAAATTTAACAAGTTAACCACCTAAAAACAATTATTTGTTCGCTCGATTTTATAGCAAAAGTATGTCTCGGTTGAACTTTTGCTTAATAAATGCTCTTCAATGGTCAAATTAGCTGCATTTCGTCAGGGCAGCGCAGCGAAATGAAGCAGGCGAGCTGGACGAAGGTGGCAGGCTATGGCAAGCCAATTGTGTCATTAATAGCCATTTTTACCTATTACATGACACAACGGCATGCCATACTACTCAAGTGCCTTTTATAGCATCTAAAATATTTTATTATTCATTGTGGAGAAGAAAAATGTGTATGCATGAGTTAACACATGGAATAATCAATGCGTGTCTGGAAAAGCTTTATTTTTTCATTCCTGTCTGGTCAATGTGTACCACAAAATCACAACAGGTAGCACGGTGGATTAGTGGTTAGTATTGTTGCATCACAGCAAGAAAGTCTTCAGTTCAATCCCCGGTTTGGACCTGGGGTCTTTCTGTGTGGAGTTAGCATGTTCTCTTGGTGTTTGTGAGGGTTTTCACCAGATACTCTGGTTTCCTCCCACAGTTCAAAAGCAGGTTAGGCTGCCTTCAGGCCCAGACCTCCTTTGAAAAGGATATCTGTGATCTCGGTGGGATTTACCTGCTTAATAAACCTTAATAAAATAACAGATTCACAGTCAATCACTGTATTCACATAAGTATTAAAACCAATTAATACAGATTTACAAGGGTTGTATGTTTAAAACATGCTCTTTTTGAACAAATGAGTAGTATTTATTTCACAAAGTAGAAATACTGTAATACGGTTATCATTTACCACTTCAATTTGTCAAAAATAAAATCCAAAACAACTCTTTTCTCAGTTTAACAATTTAACCTATGTAAAATTTTAAGTGAACTTTTTTTTTTCACGTATCACACCAAGTCAAAGTTTTCCGTCTAGTTCGCATCCAGTACTGCCTACTGTCGGTACTCGTTCAAAAATATAGATTTTCTTCATTCGCTTGTTCTCAGGCATCCTGCTGTCTTTTGTTTTAATATTCTGCCATTTCTCTTTGAAAATCCTTCAATGCTGTTGGGTCTGCTCCTTGATTCTCACAGAACAAGATCCTGAACAGAACCGGCTGCTGTCCAGTTTGCACTGAAAGTGAGTAAGTCTGTTTCATCAGAGTATCTTCTCATTTTTATTTAACCCTAAACTAGCTTTTAATTTGACCCCATATGTTCTAAAACTATTAGTGTCGATTGCAGAATAAGAAAGACTATCTGTAGTAAATATGTGACTTGTTATTGCAAAAAAACCTCCAAAAACCAGTGAGAACAAACCCTGCTCCAGGCTCAGTAGCTCTGGGTGAATATTCTTTATGAATTTTAGTCCAGACTGTGGTTTGCCCTCAGGTCGTTTTACTTTGGCTTCAAACTGCAGAGGAAATCCCCAATGTGGTCTATTTCAGGACTACAAATACCCCATAAATCCCACTTGTATATAATAAAATGTAGAGTTTCATTTGGTAAGGCAGACATTCTACCACACACACATGCCGGTTCCACATCTGAGCGGGTCAGATCGGTGCCACATATCTTAGCATTTAGCATAAATAACGTTTTTGCTGTTTGCTGTTGGATTTCAACAGGGATCATTAAAACAGTTGTGCTGGCTTGACTACACCCAATTAAAGCCATTTAATTTTAAATGTCATAACATTTTCTGTTAATTATCCTTCAGCTTTTTTTAACGTTCTCTTTGTTTATGCCCGTTCTCCTCCAGAACCAGGTGTTTGCACGGTCTTCGGTGACCCTCACTACAACACATTTGATGGCAGGACCTTCAACTTTCAGGGAACTTGTCAATATGTGCTGACCCGTGACTGTGGTGGGATTTCATCTGGAGCTCCAGGAAACAACATCAACAGTCCAGACTCCAGCTTCACGGTAGGACGGGTCTTCGAATAGGAACCGTACAGAGTTTAGAAACCTGCATAGTCAGAGTTAGAGATGAAGGACATGGGATACAGTATGTACCTTTATTTATCTTCATGTTTACATGCAATTTGTTCCTGTGCAAGTGAGAAACCAAGCTCACTGTAAGTACTGTAACAGATCCTGCGTCTTATTATTAGATAAAAGCCAACTTTTTATCCAGTAGCTCAATGAACTTCTTGATAAATCCCTTTCATTGTCTCCTGAGGAGCTTTTCCAGGCTAGAGTGAGACCAACTGTGTTGGTGCTAAGTACCTTGCTTTGACCAAACATCAAGAACATGCACTTGTTTAAATTAATTAGATTGAAGTGTTATAGTTTTAGAAATTCAGGAGGAGCTTAAGAGTCTCTGCTCCTCCACATCAAAAGGAGCCAGAAGAGGTGGTTTGGGTGTCTGTGAATGTCTTCCAAAGGAGATGATTCAGACAGGTATCTGGGTAAAGACAGGGCAGGCTTAGGATTTGCTGGCAAGATAGTATCTCAAAGTTAGTCTGGGAATCCATCTGAAGGGGCTGGAGGAAATCGCTGGGCACAGGGAGGACTGGTGATTTATTTTTAAGCTGTGACCTGACAGCCTGGCCTCAGATAGGCAGTATGCTGTAGAATATTTAAATTTAAATGCTATACATTTATGATGAATAGTTGGAGGTTAAACTTGTATTTACTGACTTTAATTTCAGGTGTTAGTGAAGAATGATGCTCGGCGAACTCGCTCTTTCTCTTGGACTCAGTTTGTTGAGATAAGGCTTGGGTCTCTGATCCTCAGCCTTCACCAGCATCTGACAGTTCGAAGGAATGGCACTCGCATTGCCCTGCCCTACCATGGTCCCGGGGTGCACATTGACCTGGATGGATACCTGCTCAAGCTCACCACCATTGCAGGTCGGTTATCAGTGTTTGCTTAGCTACATAGAAAGTATTGTCTTTAAGGTACACGGTTGGTACTTAACTAGTTGTGTTGCTCATAACTCTGTCACCAGGTCTGGAGATCACTTGGGATGGTGATAGTTTTGTAGAGGTTGTAGCAGCTCCCCACCTGCGCGGACATCTCTGCGGTCTTTGTGGGAACTACAACGGTCACAAGCGCGACGACACCTTGGGAGGTGACGGCCAGTTCAAGTTTGACGTGGATGAGTTTGCAGAGTCGTGGCGAGTCGAGGGAAATGAGCTTTGCTCCCAGCAGCATCCACCTCGCAGGCCGACATCCTTCCTGTGCCCTGGCAGTGTTAAAGTCAAATTCCGGGCACACCGGGAATGCCAAAAGATAAAGTCATGGGAGTTTCAGAAGTGCCATCGTGTGGTTGACTTTGGTTCTTTCTACAGGTGAGGACAATGCTGTGCTTGAAGTCTAAAAAGTACAAAACATATCTAACGTTATTAGAAAGCAATATTTTCATTGGTCCTTGCACACAAGGACAGGAAAAGTGGGTAAAAGAAAATTGATGGCCGAACGAATTGCGTATGTTAAGTCGAGTCAGTTATTCACAAACTGTGATTTTAACTTTAAAACCAAGTTGCCTAAATTTACCCCGATAGACATGAAGTGTATTGATCAATAGCTCCAAACGATCCTGTTCTATTAAACTACATCTATTACTTGCCTTTTACAGATCATGTGTGACGGACATGTGTGAGTGTCCAGTCCATAAAAACTGCTACTGTGAGTCCTTCATTGCCTACAGCCGAGCCTGTCAGAGGGAGGGAGTGCCCGTCCAGTGGAAGCCTGACAACGTTTGCATGGGTTAGTGACTCGGCCACGAGACAAGCTGCTTTTTCTTGAGCTGTTAGTGTAAAATATTTGAAATCTGGCAATATGCCGAGTGACACCATTGCTTCTTCCACTATAGTTTTTATTTTTTCAATTATGTTTTTCAGAATGGTATTAGTTCATCATTAAAGAGCATGTGTTGGTTTGTGTTAAGCAGAATGTACTTTAAGTCCTATTACAAGTCCAACAAAGTTAAGTCAGGTCGTCTGGACGGTTTATTTTTATTGAAACGTTTCGTCTTTTATCCAAAAGACTTCATCGGTCCAAGGAGCTGCAACAAACTCAGTCAAAGCTCCTCGGACTGATGAAGTCCTTTGGATAAAAGACGAAACATTTCAACAAAAAGAAACCGTCCAGACGACCTGACTTACCAGTAACTTATTTTTCTACCTGGATTATTGAGCATGAATCAGGTTATCCTATCACAAGTGCATCAATATGCTTGGGGTGGAGGTCAGGGGACATCAACTTAAAGGAGTTCTATCACACTGATCAAGATTTACTGGGTCATTTATTGTTAAAAAGCCACAGACACAACAGAAAATCGATGTATAAACCTGCTCTCTAATTCAGTTTAGAACACAATATACCCAGTAGATTCATTAACTTTGTTCAATACAGTATTTTTTGCCTGAAATCAACACAAACACAACCAATCTACAGTATGTGTTGTCTTAAATGCTGTTTAAATTATGTGCAGTTATTAAAATCATTATTCATTTCTTAGAAATGATACAACGTGAGCATTGCACGAAGCTCCTGATCTGTTGCTTTTTGCCTGGAGTAACCCAGTTCTACTTTTTTTGTGTGCCACCCCTTCCCTCCACCAGCCACCCAGTGTAAACATGACGCTGTGTACGACACCTGTGGCCCGGGATGCACTAAAACCTGTGACAACTGGAATGAGATTGGACCGTGTCACAAGCCCTGTGTGGCTGGCTGCCACTGCCCTGCCAATCTGGTGCTGCATCAGGGACGCTGTATCAAACCCACGGCCTGCCCTGGACGGTGACCCTTGTTTCTCAGGCGGGAGGGGAGCTAGGTTAGGGAAGGTCATCTGTAGTGTTCAAAGTTGAAGCCAAACTAGACGAGAAGTAAAGGGTTAAGGACAGTAAAAGGTCTCAACTCTACAGAGCAGATGCACCAACGTACTCAGGGTCCATACTGTTGCAGAGAAACGTGTTGCAGCGACGTCAACATCAGAGATCTAACCAACGGCGTCAGACTGAAGGGAAATGGACGGGAAGCTGATCACAGCAATCAGCCGGTGATCTCCTTGTGATGCTCATGATGCCACATATTGACAGTAGCAGTTCCATCAACATTTAGGCTTGAGGAACTGAAACATCTAGAGAAAACGCGGGGCCCCATCTGGAGATTGAATACCTCACACACTTAAGGAACATTCAGCTCGTTACTGTGGACCTTCTGGAAAAGGTTTGGCCCAGAGGACTCGTATTAGAGCCAGAATGGTGCTCAAATGATCAATGTTCTTGTAGAGAAACTCTCGGATGCATTAAACTGCTCGATTGATCTCTATTCCATCATTTCATACTGTAAGCTAACCAGATTTATATGAGAGACAGGATAGCTTTTATATTATTATTGCTCTAATTATTATTTGTTGCAGATGTTAATTTATATATCCCTCAATGACATTGACAAGAGCCAGAATCATGAATATAATTGTTATAAATGATTTAAAGGGAAACAAAAGCTATTTATGTATTTGTTGTGTATGTTGTGGTACTGTTTGAAGTAGAATTGCCCAAATGTGACTCAGTGGTTGCACCATTGCTTTAAAAAAAAAAGGTACTGTAATGTAATAATGCTCAATGTATGTGTTGTTTTAGATAGTACAGAACCAAAAGTATTCATGTAAACATATGTTTCACTTGAAGAGAATTATTTAAGACTAGCAATATAATCTTTTCCTGAAGTTCAATTTTGGCTGATGTTTCTCATCTTTGAAGGGCTGAAGAAAATTTACTCCACAAACAAAAGTTAAAATAATAATAATATTAATTGGAATTATCTACCTTATTCCTGGGGGCTCTACTGTATAAATGATTATGGGAACAACTTCCTGTCACACACCAGAAGTACCAGTAAGCATTGTGGTAGCGGAACACGGACGTTGGTTTATTTGAAAGTGATTTGAACAGAAACCGTCCAGAGAAGACCTGATTTAACTTTCTTGGATTATTAAACCTGGATTAATGAGCATGAATCAGGATCATTTGCCTTCACTTTAGCAGATAAAACAACGTTTTTGTTTTGTTCACATTATTTAACAACCATAAAGTTGACTAAAATAGCCGTGCTGAGTTCAGGTACCTGTTGTGTTCACGGCTGCATGAACAACCAGACCAAACTAAATCAGTGGCTACAACAACAGTTTTGAACACAGACCCAACACAAAAAGAGTGTTCCTGTGAAAAGCGGTATAGTTTCCATCACCGACCTACAGGTGAGGAATTAAGAAGAATGTGGCTGAAAAATGTGAACTTGAAGAGACCAGCCAAAACGCTGTATGTGTGATTATTTCACTTTGTTGACAAACGGCCGACGGAGAAAAACCTGCATCCTACTTTGTGTCTGGACAATAAACCACCTTAAAAGAGACGCCGGATCCTCAGAAGGATTGAACACAGTGACGAGAACATCAGGTATGATTTCAAGTGTATGGAGGACACAGCTTTATAGTATATGTTCGCTTTTGGTATTACAATTTTCTCTGCAATTAACCCAATCTCAGTGATGGACGACTTTAAGGCTTTGGCTGGGCTTTGTGTCTGCTTTAAGGTAAATAAGATTGTGTCCCAGGCTCTTAACAAAACACCGACCTTATTGTGTAGATACTAACACGCCTCAGAGCTTTCCAGGTCGTTCATCGCTTCACTGTCGAAAGCAACCGAGTCAATCAAGTAGCTACATATGCTAGTAGATGTAGCTACGTATGCTAGTAGATGTAGCTACATATGCTAGTAGATGTAGCTACATAT